TAAAATATATCCGAATTTATAAGGGTAGTCAAAATAAATGATTAATACGCAAACTAGTTATGTAATTACTTTTTACAGTACATACGTTTTGTTAGCGATCAGAACGAAGATCTTAGAAAAGCTGACATCCTATCATGACTGAAATAACCTCAGAATAGACTGTACGATAATCAGTTTCAAAAGCTGAGTCAATTCCGATTAGCAAAAGAATGTAAGTCTTTCGCATATGTCGGCATGTTGCACGAATTCTGGCGCGTACTGTATCTGTTTTAGACAGCAAAGTATAAGTATATGAACATGAGTGAACCCTTGATACGTTGTTTGGGTATGGGCGGCGAGGTTACGCAAGACAGCCCAATTATTCCAAGAGTGCATATGGTTAAGGTAGCAACGCCGCGTCGAGCAATGCGTAGAAAGTTGCCCAATGACGGACTAGCTCTGGACTACTCAGGTCACAAGGTGATCGTACTCTGGTTCTCTAGTAACGCAGTTCTAACACGAGCAGAATCCACCTATGCTTTAGTCTTGGAAGCATGTCGACTATCGGAATGGTTCGTTTGAAACCAACTGTGGCCCTCGCAGCTGCCGAATATCCGAGCTTCTCTCTTAGGGTCAAGGAGACCGTGTGTAGTACGCTAAAATGTGGTTTTCTTAGCCTCCGTACTCGCTCGCTTACTCACACAATTACACCTGCAGTCTTCTGCTTTTCACGTGGCTCCGGCGGCAATGGCGAGATCCGCTTTATGAAGCTTGCTGTACTCTACGCAAGTTCGCGTACGAGGGCCTAAATAATGTGCCACGCCTAACAGTCTTAGGGCAAACCTTTGGCTAGTATGATTCAGCTGCCCTCAGTACACCAGTAACATGACGTGGAGTATGACGGCACATATGATTTAAACGAGTCCTCGCTCTGATGATTTACAATGCAAGGGTAATTTGTAAAGCTGAAAGTACTCTGTAATGCATGAGCGATGAGAAGAAAAGGTGGTATGGGTGTAGCCCGAGACGAAGAACGCGGTCTCGGGACCCTGGGAGGGAAAAATTAAACAAAAACGCACTGGTACGTTGTTGGTATCTAACTGGACTACTAGCCGCTGTGCGGCTGTTGGCATGGCTCGAGACTGAGCTCCAGTGTA